AAACTAAATAAAAAAATAATTAAATTTTTCTTGTACGCCATATTTAGCGATATATATATATATATATATATATATATATATATATATATATATATATATATATATTCAACAGGATAGAATCAAGGTAGAGGTGTCAATATCCAGGACAGTGGAAGAATGTAATATACAAGGCTTAAACACTAATATTCCATGGTTATAATTTATTATATTGGAATCGTAATCACCATCCAAATCATCAGACCTACAAAAATAGATTTAGATCATAATCACCCTCCAATTATATCAGATCTAGAAATTCAAAAAGATTTTTTATATATGTATATATTGCTACCTCTTTGTCACCGAGGCCCGTTCGAACAATTGGTATGACGGTGGCATCATAACCTAACTGTCAGGGTTTCTATTCTCGGTAATGGATGCGCACTGATGATGAGTCCCAAATATAGGTCAAAACTGGTGTTCAGGGCATTTTGTTGAGGTTTCTTTTAAATTCGATGAATTATATATATATATATATATATATATTGGTCTGTTTTTATTTAAATTATTTGCTCTGGATTTGCATTGAGCTCTCTGGATTTTATCCTCCTTAGGTTTACCCATACGGACTGCCTAGTTTTTCATAAACTATATATATATTTGTATATTTAGGCAGCAATCCTTCCTTTATGCATGTTTCATTAAAAACGACAGACAAGGTACTACAGTTGAGCTTTTTATTTAATTTTTCTTGTGTTCTTACACACTCTTTGTCCAGAAAAGAAAGCTCTTGTCAGAACACAAGAAAAATTAAATAAAAAGCTCAACTGTAGTACCTTGTCTGTCGTTTTTAATGAAACATGCATATATATATATATATATATATATATATATATATATATATATATATATATATATATATAAAGAAAGAACAGTAAGATATATAATCCGGTTTTCTTATAGATATTTTTTATTTTTTAAAAATAGTGCTCAATGTAAATTTACAGAGCAGGTCAACTGCTTGGAATGTTGATTCACTGTGTCGTTCTAGACAATTCTTCTAGCCACAATCTATCTTACAAATTTGTAAGTCGACCATTCGTGCTTGTTTTGAATATCGCTGCCACATCCGATCTGGTATTTGTCTTATGTATTTAGAAATTCTTGATAAAATCCAAAGAAGAATTTGCAATATTACTGACCTGGCACCTCTGCTTCAGTCGTTTTTCCAACGCCGTGACGTAGCTTCCCTGTGCCTTTACTACATTTTCATGGTAATTGTTCTGATGGTACTTTGATACTGTACTTTATAAATTTAAGCGCAGTACTAGATTGGCGTCTAGGTCTCATCATTTTAAAGTCAAAATGACTAGATGTAACCGTAAGTTCTAGGCTAGCAGTTTCTTCTTTCGCACTTATCGCTTGTGGAACTCACTTGTGGTTTCTTGATAAATTTGACCTCCAAAAATTTAAATACAATGTCAATTTCCGTCATCTCTCCCCTTGAACTACTTAATAATCATTTTTCTCGTATTGTTTCACTCTTAGTAACCCTGTGTTTATTTATCGCCTTCCTTGGGGTGAAATGATTAAAACCAATACATCACGTTAAACAACGCCCCATTGACCTTCTGCCAATATTGTCAAAAAAAGAGACCAAATTAATGAAATGATCCCTTTCCTCTCCAAATATTAATCCAGTCATTAAAAAAAATTGATAGGAAAATGAAAAATAATTTTCAATCAAAGATTTTGGTATGCTTTTGAATATTTATTGTACAGGTGAGTGGGGAAAATCTTTCGATGTGAAGTTGGGCCATAATGCAGAAAAGGTTGGGAAACCCTGTTATATAAAGGCAAATAGACCGTATTAAAATATAAAATAATGATATATTTAAGTAGCTTTTGGACTTATTTGTAAATAAAAATTTATATTGCACTTGGCATAATTTAACCCTGACACTCCTAAAACGAGTAACTATCGATATTTTAAATAAATATGGATATCATGAGTTTAAACTCTCACGATATACTGTCTATATGAATTTATATTACATATTGAAGCAGGTTTCTATCTCCACTATTAACGACGCAGTGTGGTCATAGATCTTACTTATCAATCAACCGTCTACATCCGCGTCCAGGGTAAGACGATAAACTGCGCCCGTGTCCCGAGTAAGACGATAAACTACATCCAACAGCAAGTCTTCTAATCAGGAGGTTTTGAGGAGCGGGGAACCATCTCTAAGTTGCTGGTGTTCCCAGTTTCATCCGGACCCGGGGTGGTAGGGTTCCAACTATGGGAAAATAGTTAACTCCCAAACTGGGGTTAAAACATTATGAAAGTATAAAAATAGGTTTTAATACCAGCAATACATTTTTATAAAAAATTATTACCAGCAATAAATTTTTAAAGAAAATCTTTTTTACTAGCAATACATTTTTGAATAAAAAAATATTACCAGCAATACATTTTTGAAGGAAAAATATTAGCAGCAAAAAAAAATCTTGTCATCATTAAATAACCCATTAAGGTTGATATGCCGTAAAACAAAATAAACCAAACCAAACAGAAGAGAGAATGATAAGATAAAGAACAAATAGGAAATGTTTATCAATCTAACATGTTTCGCTTTTATTAAAGCTTCATCAGAGAATAAGATATAAAGAAAAATAAGAAAGAAATTCTGTTTTTTTTTTATTTTGTGTTCTTTGATTTTCATTCATATTCATTTTCAGTCATATTTTGTTTATATACCGTACCTAAAAGAGTGCTCAGTACCATAAAAAATAGCAGAGCTTTAACATACTGGCATTTGACAACGTGTATGTACATATATATATATATATATATATATATATATATATATATATATATATTAACATACAACGTGTGTTAGCACGTGCGATACCCTGTCTTCATCAGCTGCCGACCAGGGGTGATAACACGGTTTCGGTGGCTATGTCGGAACCGCCACCCCTGGTGCCACCAACAGCGTTTGCTACCAGGCAGTGTATGAAGATAAGCTAATTGATCGTTCCTTTAAATAAATTCTATCTGTAATGAAAGTTTCCTGAAAGCGTTTGCCGTTACTGACGAGCTCGTAAAAATCGTTATAGATGACCACACAAATATCTCACTTGCGCATGTTAGGTCGTGATGTTGCGCGCATTTTATTTGCTTGTTTTGATCTCGACCAAATCCAACTTGACGCGTGTTGAACAGTTTTTTGAATGCGACGCGAAACGCTTTTCAACCAACCAGCCGCAACATACTTGTAGAAAATACAAGTATAATAGCCAAATCCACATGTAAAAAATAGATTACAGATAATGGAAGTCGTAATAATAAAAAAAGAAAAAGCCAACACTCAGTAACATCGGCTATCAACATGACCATAATGTGCTGACCGTGTTTGGGAAATAAAAAAAAACATCCCACCCCTCTAGGAATATATATAAAATCTACACATTCAGTTAGGAATAAAAAGTTTAAAAAAATGCTTGATAATGGCTTATAGAATAACCGAAAGCGTTCCGATATATAGAACTTTTGGAGAATGTTATATACTATACCTATGAACACTATTGGGTATGTCATAATCCTTATAAATACGTTGGACACTATTATAAGTGGGGGTAATATGCTGTATAAGTAGTCCACCATGAGAAGTGGTTTACCTACTTCACGCCGCTGGCGAGTATTGTATTTTGATGATATTATAAAGATTATCATTTCATTTCCAACCTCCGTTTTGGTTATTCCTCATTCAGTAACCTTTTCTAGGTTACAACATATTTCATAGGAGTTAATGTGTGATAAAATAATACTCCGAACTAGAATTTAATCAATGATGTAATCGTCCTCGTCATAGATTCTCGAAACATTCATATCTCCTCAGTTTCGTATCCAAACGAAAACAAAGCAATTTCTAAAGAACTAATAGATTTTTTAGTTATTAGCTCGAAATATTGCTTATCACTTAAACGCTGTTTGTAGTGGATACCCATAGTTCAGTAGACGTTCTGTTTTTATTTTTAAACTGTCTACTGAAATATGTATGTTCACTAAAAATAACGTTTACGTAATGACAAATCTGTTGGGTTAATAACTAAAGAAATCCATTACTTCTTAAGAAATTGCTTTGTTTTCGCTTGGATACGAAACTGAGCAGATATGAAATGTCAAGAATCTATGACGGGAAGGAATTCGCTTAAAGGCACTATTAAGTTCCTCTTGCCCGTCAATGCCTTTCGTGGCTGAGTCGGTATGAGCACGTCGGATATCATGACGTTTTCTTCTGCCAAGGAGAACACGAGTTCGAATCCAACCGGAGGGCACAATTTTTTCTTCAATGTTGTAAGAGATGTTCGTGAAAAACCCATGATTATTCTGTGTTCAAATTTAAGTTTCCTTTAATAAAACAATAGTTTCTCATAGTAATATTTCATAGTCTTAGCTCTAGCCTCCAAATATCTTAATAATCTAATCCTTTTTACGGGGAGTTGGATGGCTTTTGATTAGAATCCAAGTTAATTCTGCAAAATATATTAAACTGTTCACCCTCCAATGCAGTTTTTCTTTTTTCGGGGGTTAAATTCTTTCCTGGAGAGGTTATCATGTTTCATGAGTGCAGCGTACGGAGGTTAGTACACACAGTTGTTTTTTTTTTTTTACTCTACTTCTAAGTATATCTTTGTGGATATGTGCGTATAAGAAAGAAATTACCTTAGGGCATTTTAGGAATGTCTACACTGAAAAATCTTTAACGACATTCTCCAGTTAATTGGAGCATTTTCCCCTGAGGATTTATCGGCTGCAACGTATAAAAAGACGCGCATGCGTATTTTCGGAAAGGAGCGCTTCATGCTCCTTGCGCTGTCGTTGCAAGAAAAGATGGTGGGTAGGTTATTAAAATAGCGGTGTGCATAAAATAGTTCATATATAAGGTTTGGGCGTCGGAAGAGGATAATCAAAGAGAAATGAAAATTCCTTAGGGAGGAGATTCTCGAAGTGACTACTATTCTTCTTGAGATGTTTCTGAAAAAAAAATAAATGTTAAGGAGAAGAAGGAGAAAGGAAATAAAAGAAAACGATTTAAAAGAAGGACGATAAGCGGTGAAAAGAAAAAGAAGAAGAAAAGCAAGAAGAAGAACGACGAATAAAAATAAGAAGAAGAACGATGAAGGATAGATAGAAGAAGAAAAAGAACAACGAAGAAAAAGATAGAAGAAGAAGAACGAGGAAGGAAAAGATAAAAGAAGAAGAAGATGAACGACGAAATAAAAGATAGAAGAAGAAGAACGATGAAGGATAGATAGAAGAAGAAAAAGAACAACGAAGAAAAAGATAGAAGAAGAAGAAAAAAAGAACGATGAAAGAAAAGATAGAAGAAGAACGATGAAGGAAAAGATAGAAAAAAGATTAAAAAAACAGAAGAGACAATGAAGGAAAAAAACAGAAGAACGCTGACGAAAAAGCTAGAAGAAGAACGATGAAGAACGATAAAGGAAAAGATAGAAGAAGAAGAAGAAGAAGAAGAACGATGAAGGAAAAGATAGAAGAAGAACGATGAAAAAAACAGAAGAGACGATGAAGGAAAAAGAGAAGAACGCTGACGAAAAAGATAGAGGAACGATGAAGGAAAAGGTTGAAGAAAAATGAAGAAGGAAAAGAACGACGAACGATGAAAGAAAAGATAAAAGAAGAAAAACGATGAAGGAAAAGGAAGAAGAAGGGGAGCGACGAAGGGAAAGGAAGAAGAAGAACGATGAAGGAAAGATAGAAATAGAAGAACGACGAAAAAATGAAAGAATAACGATGAAAGGAAAAAGAAGAGACGCTGAAGGAAAAGAAAGAAGAAGAAGGCCGATGAAGGAAAAAAGAAGAAGAACAGAAAGAAGAGGAAAGAGAAGTAGAAGTAAAAGAAATGAAAGACAGAAGAAAAAAGAAAGAAAGAGGAAATGAAAAAGGAGGGAAATTAATAGAAAATATCAGAACCAGAAAATAACGGTGAACACAGGAAGAAGAAGAAGAATAGAATAAACAAGAAAGTGAAGTGGAAATAAAAAAGAAGAAGAAAGAAATAAGAGAAATAGAAAAAAAGAAGAAAAGAAATGAAAAGGCAAAGAAAGAAGAAAACATTTCAAAAACGTAAAAAAAGACGGTGAACAAAAGAAGAAGAGGAGGAAGAAAAACAGAAAGAAAAAGGAGAAAAGAAAGTAAGAAAAATAATGAAGAAGAAATCAAAAAAGAAAGATGGAAGAAAGGAAGTGAAAATCTGAAAAACAGTTGTAGACCAACAGAAGAAGAGTTTACAAAACTGGAAAAGATGGAAGAGAAAACTGAAAAAAAAAAAATGGAAAGAATTGATTAAGGCGAATACAAAAAGAAAAAAAGAATTACCAAATAAAGCAAACAAAACAAACAGAAGAATGACACGTACTATGTTAAAAAAAAAATATATATATATATATAGAAAGACATTTCGTTCTAGTTATTGGCATCAACAGAGACGACACGGCAGCTGTTCTTGAAGTCATCTGGTATTTTCTAGTAGATGTTTGCAAATCAACAACAGCATATCAGGAATGGCGAGGGGAATTAGCGAAGTTGTTATCTGCCATTTAAATCTTTGAAAAATATTCCACATTTCTTTCGTTTTTTTTCTTTAATGCCAACTTGTTATTTTTCCCGATGCGAAATTTCTACTTTCTCATAGCGTGCAATATCAAATTGTGTCGTCTTCGATAGCTCAAAGTCAATTACAAAAAAAAACACCAATTGTACGTCTACACACTCTATCTCGTTCGTGTGCTGACAATCTGTATTGTATAGGCCGACTGAAAAGACAATTCTTGTTCCAGTCCATCGATGGCACAAAAGCGCAAAGAGCAACTGATGAACAATGACCAATGTCTTTATGACAATCTTTTGTTCAATAGCAGTTGGTTTGTTTAGAATAAATATTACAATTATTAAGAACCGTGGCGTCACAGTGAGCATGGCCACTGCTATAGAGCCTAATGTCATAACTATAGTAAACATGTCATAAAGTCTAGTGTCATAGCCATAGTGAGCAAGATAACTGTCATAGAGTATAGTGTCATATAGTTATAGTGAGCATATCCAATGTCATAGAACACAGTGTCGCGGTCATTGTATTCATGGCAACTGCCATAGAGCATAATATCATAGTCATAGTAACAATAAAATCTGTCATGGACCATAGTCATAGATTCATTGCCATAAATGAGAATCGTCATAAAGCATAGTGTCATAGAGTCATAGAGAGCATTACAACACTCCTAGAGCATAGGAAAGCCACCAATCTGCCGCTGGTGGCCCGCTTTCGGACCGCCGGCGCGTTCGTCTCGGTAGTGTTACCATTGTCGGGCCGCTAGGGGCCCACCGGCGGCTGCCATCGGAGGACCACTGTCGTGGCCATCGGCGGCCCGCCAGCGGACCACTAGCGGCTTGCGTGTAGGGGGTGTTATATTCATAGTGATCATGGCAACTGTCATATGAGTACTTCGATGTGCTGTAATGGTTAGCATGCCTTTTTTCGCTTGAGCAATTACGTGGGTTCGATTCTCACTGGGTGCTCCACACTTTCGGCCCTGTGCTACATTTAAGACACGCTTAGAAAATCATCTCCCATAGGACACAGTGGAATAAGGTCATAGTGTGAAGGATTATTGTAACTGAGCATAGTGCTATGAGGCACATGACAACTGTCATAGAGCATAGAGTCATATGACAACCATCAGAGAACATAGTGAGTGTCATAGCGAGCATGATTAAAATCAGAATTCATCATCATCGCCTTGAATTTTGTAATCATAGGCGGATCCGATTGCAGAAGTCAAAATAGATCTCTTACGGTGTAGAATAGCGTATAGATATAGAGGATAGAGTAGAAATGGTGATCCGAATAGTAGAAGATAGAATAGAACATTATTTACATTATTCGGACTATTTGTCCTCATCTTTGTCGCCATATTTATTACAACGTTTCCGGCCTTCTTCAGGTGGTTGGAATGTCGAACTTAACCCTTTAGAGGTTTCGCTCACTGGGGTAGACTGTTCTAGTTCCATGTGCCATGTTATCAGTTATCTCCTGTTAATTTCCCTCTGAAAGTTCTCCACTGCCTTAACCAGGTATTGAACTCACACTCTTTGGGTATGTCGCTGGATCTAACCAACGCCTTTATCCACTGTGCCATGTGTCCTTGACGTATGAATTTCTGGGTATTATAAACCTAATGTCTTCAGCAATCATTTTTACCAGTGTACATATTGCAATTTTTTGCTGTTATCATTAATGTTTTTTTTTATTGCAACTTTTGTTGTTATTATCGCTTTTCTTTGGCACTCCTTATTATTGGTTCCAATATTGTATTCATTTCTATGCTTGGTCGGCTCAGAAGATTTTTGTGGCCTAGCGTATGTGCTGATTCCTTAAGTTTACGAATTTTTCAATGGTGTTGAGATCATAGACAAGGAACACCTTAGACGATCATTTAGACATCACACGACTTACTACTTATGCGTTTCCTCTATGGTCACGTGATCTACTTAGATCAATAATGGGATGGCCTGTGTTTACTCACCGACGATCTATGTCGAAACTCAAGCGTCGGCAGCGACACTTTGTTCCTATATGACAATTACAAATGTATCATAGTGAATTGTCATAAAACAAAATCATACAGAGTAAGGGATAGCGGCTCAAATTAAGGAATCGGAGAGCCGAGTTCGAATTCCAGCCGGATTCAATACATTCACTTACGTGCTAATACCCTTCGGAAAGATATGAATTCTCTTCTCTCACCGCCCCTAACCCCCAGCTATTGGTAAATAGTTCTATAGACTTGAGAAAGTGCTGGGATCCGTCAGGTTATCTTGCCCAAGAAACTTCTTCGGCAATACATTTGATGCCCCTACGACATGATGGGTCACAGCATAGTGTCATATAGTCATAGTGAATATGATTAGTGTTATAGGACATAGAGTCATAGAGACATAGTGTGTATATAACCATAATGTCATAGAGACATTATGGTTTATGTTAAATCAAGATTATTATTTGCAGACATTTAATCGTCCATTTTGTCAATATATATCGTAGTCAGATAGAACTAATCAATTATTTGTGGACTTTGAAGTGGTGCAGAATTATATGCAAATGAATGCACACTGTTTTTGAGAGGTTTACAACGAATTAAACATAGGACGTAAAATGTTTTAACAAAAGTCGTAAAAACTAGATACAAACAGAATAATGCATATATTGCCTCTCTTTTGAAAATAATGCTTACAAGAAACCCTGACAACGCAAAAAGGTTTTATTTTTGCTTTTGAATGAATATATTCGAAGAACACTGGGAAAGCAATGCCTCTTATTTATTTCTACAGAAACTACAACAGATACAGGGAGAGAAAAAACACTTTTCGATAGAGCAAGTTTTCAGCTGCAAATCACTATTTTCCCACATAGACCCCACCATTGGCTATAACTTTGCGTTCCAAAACTAATGCCTCTTATTTATTTCCACAGAAGCTACAAAAGATACAGGGAGCATAATGACAATGTTGAATAGTGCAAGTTTTCAGCTACAAAAGACTATTTTCCCACATAGACCCCACCATTGGCTATGCCTTTGTGTTCCAAAAATAATGCCTCTTATTTATTCCCACAGAAACTACAACAGATACAGGGAGCACAATGACAATGTTGGATAGAGCAAGTTTTCAGCTAGGAAACACTATTTTCCCATATAGTCACCACAATTGGCTTGGCTGTGTTGCTCCAAAAGTAATGCCTCTTATTTATTCCCAGAGAAAATTTCAACAGATATAGGGAGCCACAATGACACTGTTGGATAGAGCAAGTTTACCGCCGCAAAATATTATCTTTTCGCGCATTCACAACCATTTGCCATAAACTGTCGTTCCAAAATTAATGCATAGTCAATGCTAGTGACTATGTTGGAAAATAGTGTTTTTGTAGTTGAAAAGTTGAAATTCTTATTTTGCTCCTGTTATCTTTTGGAGCCTCTCCCATCTAGAATGACATGAAATCATTACTTAAATAAGAAAGGTTGTGTGGATGGCAGAACAGGGTTCAGGAGAAAAAGAATTTAGTTTTGGCGTTTAATACTTTAATTTACTATGTTGCTAGGTGTTTGCCTTTTGATCTTTTCTCTTTTCTTTCCTTGGTTGGAATCTTTTGTCTAAGCTATTAAGTTTTTTAGCAGATTGTCTGTTGGCCATTCAAAAAATGTTGGTTGATATATATATATATATATATATATATATATATATATTGTCACCTGATAATTGCGATGAGAGTGAAACTTGTATAGTGACTCGAGCTGTGTCTCTGAGTGTTGACGCTGTGAAGCCATTTTTGCTCTTGACAGCTTAGGCGTTGAACGGTATTATATACTGCTTAGGTAGGAGTTTGCCTTTTGACATTTTTCTCGTTCTTAATTTGTTGTTTTTTCTCCCTCCTCCTCTTGCTTTTTTTTTATTAGTATTTCCCTCCATTTTAGGTCATTTTGCGAGTATATATATATATATATATATATATATATATATATATATATTCATGAATTATTCACACAAAAACAAATGCAAAGGTTAATGATTTAATTGGCGAGAAATCCATCGTCGCAAACAATTCAAATAATATACAAAAACCTCCGAATCCGTCATGAATGAAAAGATCCTTGTTTCTATAAATTTCTGCCGTATTAGTTCTTATTTTCACTACAAGCTTTCGTCTGTTCCTACAGACATGTTCAGGTATAGAATAGATGTTGTTCTTGTTTTTTCTCTTAGTAATAAGAGGACAACGAAAATATATGTATTGTTGTATCCGAAAATGCTATTGGAAATGAGTTATTGTTTTTGGAGCGCGCAGTAGCAACGCTGAGTTTGATTTTAAATTTTTTAAAGTTGTGCGTTCATGTACAAATATGGTGATGAACGAATTTTTTACTGGTAAATTTTCTGTCAAAGTGTCATGAACTATATTGTTCAATAATTACAGTAATGTCGCACTTATTATCCAAAAGTCGCACTTGGATCAGTTATTTTAATTACGATAAACGTGCAATCAATTTACAAATTCATGAATTATTCACACAAAAACAAATGCAAAGGTTAATGATTTAATTGGCGAGAAATCCATCGTCGCAAACAATTCAAATAATATACAAAAACCTCCGAATCCGTTATATATATTTAAAATTGTAAGCTGGATTAGATGTTCCATAGCTGCTAGTACTTTCGAAAATCATCACATTTTCATCTTCAGGCACTAATATTTTTTTCATTTCAGATAACTTCCAATGAAAATAACGAAAATAAATGTATTGCAGGCCGAAAGATATTTTTCTGAGATTCTGCTATTTATTAACGGTTACATAATTTTGGAACGTGCAGTGTCACAACGCTAGAGTTGTATTTTAAGTATTTCAAGTGAGAAATTTTTCTGAATATAGTAATATGGCCTGATGATTTTCGAAAGTACTAGCAGCTACAGAAAATCTAATCCATCTTACAGTTTTAAACATAAGGATCGCGTCATTCAACAAGTGCTTCGTAAGTTAATGCTTTATTAAATCTGTCAGCGAAGTGATTTTGCCGTAAATTACATTAAGTTTATTGATTAATTTATTATATGATTACTTCTTTGTAATATATATATATATATATATATATATATATATATATATGAATAAATATACTCTTAAGGTGTGCTATATTTATGGGATAAAGTGTTCAGTATGAGAGATAGAGCTTGTGTAAATATAAAAGTGAACATTGAAGTCAACGCTTAAAGACGACAGGCTGTTTCATGCTAGACGCAATCGTCAGGCCACTTATATATATATATATATATATATATATATATATATATATATAGAGAGAGAGAGAGAGAGAGAGAGAGAGAGAGAAATAGAAAGATAGATATGAACTGACAAATAGATAGATAGATATATATATAGATAGATAGTCATTCTGTGGGTAACCTTTTAATGAACAGTTGTTTATGTCGAGCAGATAATAAAATTAGACAATAATATTTAATCGAGACATTGATCGCTGTCTATGATTAGAAACAGACTCTAAACTCCCGTTTTCTAAATCCTTGCCCTAAAAAAATCTTCAAACACATTGTTATTTTTTCTTTTTATTTAGTCTTTATCTTTACTAAGTTTAGCTTGATGCGGCACGAAGCCGAATGAGAAGAAGACTGTGATGCGTCACTAAATGGCGGTGTACGTTCTTGCCTAAAAAATCAACATTGAAAGTTCCAGTTTTTATCTAAATCCAAACACCGGCCCCTGTTTCCGGTGAAAGTGACGTAATTCGTTATACCAGCGTCCGCTACGCCTTTATTTACACTAAAATATCCCCAGTATTTTTCTAGGCGTTCTTTGATCCCAAATTTCACTCAAAACATATCAACACATTGTAGACCAAACATAAATTACCGTGTTTTATTTTAACGCTAGAAATCAGCATATCAACACGGGCAACACATCCCATGGGAAATAAAATTACAAAAGAACGAAAAGATTCAAACTTTCTTGTTGATATCAGCAGAAAACTTCCTCTCGGAACTCACGTGATTTCGTTAAGCTCTCATGGGAGTTCCTTTTGCATCTGTTATCGACCCTCTTAATTCTCAGCGAGATTCTCGCAAAATATGAGAATTACACGCGACCAGCTTTAAAATATAGCAGACGATCAGTAAAGGTCGGTTTTAAGTAATTTAACGGGCTTAAAGTGGGGAAAGGGTACAATCACGTAGCTTCCTAGAATGTCGCTAAGATTATATTCCGTTTATAACAGATGCAAATAAAAGTCTCGTAACCATTTCCTAAGTACTCATTCCTCGACTTACGGACGCCATGATTGTTGTTAATTCAAGAGTAATGTTTGATATCAAATTAAGCTGTCATTGCTTTCCAAATCTGGGGTCTTCATTCCCGCTAAAATTATTAGATCGTGTCTTTTCAATTAGTGGTCAGTTTAATCAATTTCATCTACACAGTATTCATAAAACTCACGTTTTTACAATCTGCGAAGTGAATCATTCTCTTCGTGTGGGTACTTTAATGTCCTGTCAAGAGCGTTGACTGTGCAGGGCTGAAAAGCCTTTTTATTTAAGGGGAGATTCTGAAATCGTCAATAACTTTCGTATTTCGATTTTTAAACGTAACGATACAGTTGGCTTGGCTTTTCTTGTTGATTTTGAAACGGCGATAGATAGATAGATAGATAGATAGATAGATAGATAAGAACTAAGATAAATAGGTACATATATTTATATATACATATGAGACATGAGTTTGTCTACTTATTTTCAATTGGATTCATTTATATTCACGCACAAGCTTTTTGGTATCATTATTAAACAAAGAGAGAAAATTACCGTGTTGATACATATTATTTATTCCGAGTACTTTCGACATAGCACAGTGTCATCATCAGGGTGTTGTTTATTTCAAAACAAATACTGTAGTGTTCATCATTTTCAAAGACAAAATTGCTGTGTTCATCTGAAAGTTAATTGTTTTTACTTGTGAATTGAAGAACGCTGGGTTTAGTGCTGTGCGATTAGCTTGAGTAACGCTACAGGGGAGGTAACTAACATATATAATAAATATAATAGCTGCCCCCTCGTATTCGAGGATACCCATTTACTAGGGTGGCTAGCCAATCCCTATTGCAGACGCTCGCTCAGGCACATTTGTGTTTGCTTAACACCCACAGCGCCCATCCGTGGTTTATACTGCAACTATGCTGAACAGACCTTAGTTATAGTTTCTGGAAGGGAGCGTGTTATATAGTGTGATGAACAATTTGAACAAGGCCAGCACGCTATCGATGGCCCCCAAGGGTTTTGTCTACCAATTTCACTTACAAGGCTTGGCTCAACCCGTGGTATGGTTTTCAGGCACTTTCCAAAGGTGCCGTACGCTGGGATCGACCTCGATCCAGTCCGATAACATCAGAAAGTCTCCTAACATACCTAAGGTCTAATATATATGCCACTATAAAAACACACAAACAAAACTATCTTCTTCGTTCTATTATATCGCAAATTTGGTCCAGTATAGTCCAGTATGACAAGTTATACACAAGTCTCCGGTTCCCAATGTCAATTCGAAGCCACCCTCCAGCCACGTTGTGATTGTTTTGATCCTGGGGAGTGGTCGTCAGATCGTAGAAATCCGGAAGCTCTCCGTTGGTCCACTTGCTAGTTCGTCAGGTGAGAATCAGGTTAACAGAAAAATAAATATAACCAAGTTGATTCAATTTTGAAAGGACAAATTTTTTTTTTATATATATAAAAGCAAACACACACACACATACACACAAACACAAAAAAATAATTCTTGTTGCACAAGGTTGAATGTTTCTTGCATGTGAACAATAACCAAACAAACGCAGATCCTTTCGGTAAGGGGAGATGTGGCCTTCGTTTTAACCCTTTTTGGTCTGTTCTTAAAGCAACTGCTAGAACCTTCGATGTTCCCGTTCTCAGTAGTAGTAATAGTATTAGTAGTAGCAGTATTAGTAATAGCAGGGGTAGCGGTACTTAGATGTTAGCGTCGGTATATCGCTTCTTCGCCCTCAGCTTTAGCAACACAGCAGACGCTTCCTTTTCAATGTCTGACGTCTCTCCACTCTGTTCGACTGTGTTCGAAGACAGAACCCCAAATGGTTGGCACGCCTCTTTATTAAGAGAACCGGCTTCACGTGTCCCAGACTGGTGACGTATCTCTTCTTTTTTTCTAATGCGAACGTACGGACATACTACCAAAGTACAACTTCACTCCTCCGAGAATAATAAATTTACTTTTTCATCGATTGGTTTTTAAGGTCCACAACAAGAAACTATTGCTTATCACCTCGCTATTAAATATGCTGCCGCTCTTTGTAAACTACAGAGACTTTGTTTTAAAAATAAATTCTAGATCAAAACATCCTTAATTTTAACTTCGATTCTTATAGTGTCAAAATCCATTTCTTTGTTTAAAAGTTCCAAATTATTATTGTTCCAATAATTTTTTGTTAGTAATTTGAAATCCTTTGTACACTTACAAAAAGATTGTATTTCGTATTCTAAATTAACTTTCTGCAACATTTACTTTTAAGGTCTTTACAGCATATTAACATGGTTATTCGAAAACTCCTCTCTTTCACTTGGTGTTTTCTGTTTTACAGCATATCCTCCTTATCATTATTATTATTTCAGGAGTGATATCGCCCCTGCCACAGATTTCCAATCCCTTAATAATGACACCAAAATGCTTGTGAGTGAATATGAAAAGATCCAGTTGAAAATAAGTAGACAAAACTCGTCTAAGTTATTCAATGAAACATATCCCAATATATATATATATATATATATATATATATATATATATATATATATATATATATATATGTGTGTGTGTGTGTAAAGTGGACATTGAAGTCCATGTGCATTGTTTACCTGACGATTGCGTTTAGCATGAAACAGACTGTCGTCGCCTGACTTCAATCTTCACTTTTATATTTACGTACGATTTATTCCTGATATTGATCACTCCAAATATTGCATACCTTAAAACTATATATATATATATATATATATATGGACAGACAGATATGAACCGACTGAGATATATATATATATATATATATATATATATATAGAGAGAGAGAGAGAGAGAGAGAGAGAGAGAGAGAGATCCTGTATGAAGTTATTAAGCAAATCATATAAACTTCAATAATTCAAATTCAGTTTGAAAAGAAATTGTCAAATTTCAAACAATCAATTTAGATGTCAAAACAAAGCGTGACTTTAAATTTTATGAAGTATCAATATGTTTTATTGAAGTTATTTGATGTATTAACACAAACTGCGCCTGAAGTTCTAAGGCAAAATCAAATGATCATATTTTACTACAATAAAAAGATAATAAAATCATCAACAATTGATCATCACCGATAATAGCACAAATGACAATCACATATGATAAGTCTATGGATCCTTTACATTGTAATATAGTGACTCTTCTTCTCAATAACAGCTACTAATCTATTTTCTATTGATTTTATTATTTATTTTATTTCAGCAGGTTCAAATTTGGTTTGAAAAATATTGTCAAATTTTAAACAATCAATTTAGATGTCAAAACAAAGCCGGAATTAAAATTTTAGGCAGTATCAATGTTTATTAAAGTTATTTGATGTATCCTAAAAACCTGCTGTCTTAAATTCTTGATCAAAACCAAATAATCACATTTTACTACAATCAAAAAGTAATAAATTATCAAAAGTTGATCAACATCTATAATAGAACAAATAACACATCTTTGAATCCTTTACATTTTAATATATTGACCCTTCTTCTCAATAACAACCAGTAATCTATTATCTATTGATTTTGTTAATTCTTTTACTTCAGCACCTTCAATTTCCGACATGGTAGTTTTAATTGTTTCCCATAGGTCTGCTTTGCTGTTATATTGTTTGTCACCTTTATATAATTTCATTTTCACAATTGACCATAGATTTTCGATTGGATTCAGATCAGGACTTGACGGTAGCCATTCCATTATCTTCTCTCCTGAAATCTTTTAGGCTCAAAGAATTCATGGCTAAGCTTAGATACACGAGAAGGATCATTCCAGTGTATAAATACAGACTTCCCTTTGAAACTGCGAAACTGAGACTTATACCATGCAAAGAAAATCTTGTTCATAAAATTGCAATAGTTAGCACAGTTCAGCTTAATTCCTTCATCGACTTTAAATGGTCCAATAATAATTGGTCAACAATTCCAGCCCATATAACACAACCGCCTCCTTGTAGCCTTCTTTTAGTCACAAGCACATCTGAATTGGATAAAATCCACCCTTTGGCCCATCCATCACGTCCTTCAAATGTCACTAGAGATTCGTCCATGAAAATTACTTTAGAAAAGTCAATTTTCATGTATTTCTTGGTTCAATTTTGACGCTTTAAAATATTTGCTTTAGAGAGAGGATATTGCTTAGGACATTTTTTATAGATCCCAATTAACAAAGTATTCTATAGATTTTTCCTTCTTAACTCGCTCAATTCCAGCCTTTTCAAATATCTGAGCTCTGGTCAAAAGGACTTGTTTCGCTATAAGTCGCTTTAGTTTATCGTCATCTCAAGTTGGTGTCTACGCGGACGACACTACAATTTACTCCTGCCTCAAAAACAAATCTAGTGTCGGTGACAAAACTAGGTGGCCGCTCGTCTTGAAATGGACCTCCAATCGGTTGTTAATTGGGACAAGAATTAGCTGGTCAACTTGAATGCCTCAAAAACTAAACTACTATCTATTAATCACCATAGAGATCCTTCCCTGCCCCCCCCCCCCCATTAGAATGTCTGATAGTCAACTTCTTGAGAGCAACTCCCTGCGTCTGCTCGGTCTCACGTTGACTGCTGACCTGAGATGGAACAAATACATTGAGTCAATTGCTTCGTCCATCGCGAGGAAAGTTGGCTCTCTGTGCCGCGCCAGGAAATTTTTCTCCCCGGAATCGATACTTCAAATATACAAATCAACCATTCGCCCTTGCATGGAGTATTGCTGCCATATATGGTCTGGGGCACCTTCTGTTTACCTCGGAGTTCTTGACAAGATCCAGAGTACTCCATTGTACTAGAAGGCCGTTGACCCTACAAGAAGGTATTTTGTGTGGTGTGGGCTTACAGTAAGTCTCACCCTTTACAATGCCTAGGGACCGCATGATCTAGAGGTTTCGGCAATTTGCGCGGAAAAGAATGGAAAATAACGGTTAACCCTAGCCTTGAGCAGATTAAGATTGTAGAGATCGGGGAAACATCCTCTCGGGAGTCGGTTCCACAGAGCAGTGGTTCGCGGAAAACGAGCTTCTTAAGTGGAACTTACTTTTTGCCGATTGAATACGCAGGGAATGTGGGTGGTTTGCTACGATGTATGTGGCACGGCGTGCCCTTGCCGTGAAGGGACCAGAGAATGTAGTTCGTCCGAGCACTTTCCATGGAAGCAGCGATAGAACAGCGATAGGCTCGCTACATTCCGCCTGTGGAAGAGAGGTTTGGAGGGTGGAAAATAATTCGTCACCCACAAGGACGCGGAGACGCTTTTGGACGATACCAAGGCTGGAGAATAAGCTCTGGGCATCTACCGCCCAATTATGTCTGAAGTACTCCATATGATAATGTTTTTTGCTCTTGTAAACCTTGTTTATCATCCTAAAACGTGTCTATGTGTTCTGTGCTCAGTTTA